TGTAATAGCCCCTCGTGCTGGGCAGCAGGGAAACGTATTTCTGGCTTTTCCAGAAGCCCTGCCATGTGAGCCCAGTGCCCCCCGGGGGCCTCCATCCCCCCCCACTCCGCCCACTGCCTTCCTTCTGGCCGCGTCTCCTCTTCCCCCGCTTTCTTGCTCATCTGTGTTCTCCTTCCGTGGCCGTTCCTTCCCGACGCTCTCGCCTCCCTGAACCGATGCCTCTTTCCATCCATGGTCCCCCACCCCGCCACTGCTCATTTCCTTTAGGGCGCCCGCCCCCCAGGCATGTGCCATTGTGAGTCACTTCCTGACAGGTCTCATGGCAAAAGCTGTGACAGGTGCTGGCATTTAACCTCACAAAGCATCTTCCCCAGATAGAGCAGCAGCTTTCTGTGGCTGATGAGGAAGGACAGAGGGGGTGGGGGCACCTCGCTGGGCTGCGGGCACCTCCCTAGCAACTTCTAATCATTTCAAAGGGAGAAGCCGGGCAGGGTTTGCCTCCAAATGAGGAAGATTTTTCTTGAATGATGTGAATAGTCAGGCAAAGGAATAGGCCACCCCCGGAATCATCCCTGGGGACATCCACACGGAGGGGCAGATATTCTGTCAGGGACAATCATCTAGAAAAGTAGAAGGCTAACTTCTTTGACCCTCCTGGTACTTCCAACTCTATAATTCTAAGGAACTGGCTGAGAAGCAGCTGTGGCTCAGAAGGATGAGGACGAAAAGGGAGAGAGAAGTGGGTCAGGACGCGTCCGGGCTTTTCTCTGGACTTCCTCTTCGAGCTCTTCATCCCTGAGCGCTTAGTTTTCTTCCGTCTCTAAGAAATCTGACCCACCATACCTTACTTAAGGGGTCTAAAAGCAATTAAGAATGGAAAAATTGAGCCTGGGGAGAAGAAACATAAAGCACTGCAGGTCTGGGCTCATGAGACTGTGGACTGCCCAAAGTCAAGGACTTTGCCTTCTACATCCTCTCCACCCACGGCATCTAGCCCATCACCTCGCTCACTGTTAGGGATGAGTAAGGTAGCCGCCGGTCACATCGGGGACAGCCGGCCGGGCCGGGGACCCTTCTTCCCAGGGGTGGTCTGCTCCCCCGTTTCTGAGATGGCCCAGACCCTGCTCTTGGATGCTCTGCTCATTCCCTGTGCTCCGTGACTGTTAGGTCAGAACATGTGTCCTTGCAGAAGAGGCCGCCCTGTGCCCACGGAACTATGGGGCCGGCTCAGCCCTTCCCCAAGCACGAGACCTGTGTCTGTGGGGTCCGAGTCCAGGGACCTCCCCCATCCCTGATAAATGGCCCCATTTGTATCCTTGCAAATCTTAATCTTCCTAATACAGTGGATTGAACTTATCTTCTTCAAAGGGCTCCTCTGTGGAAAGAAAGAACCCGCATTTTTTAATATATTTCAGCCAGTGATGCAGAGCCCACTTCCTTTTGCTTCCAGTCATGTTATATTGGGCTGTCCGAATGCGCAGGGCAGGGTGATATGCCTCTGGGTTACTGGCTCATTACAGGACCTCTTACCATTAAGCAAAACTGCGGGGCAGACTTGAAGCTTTCTGTTTTGTCAGAAAAAAAGTCTTTTAGGCTATCTTTTTTTTCAAGTCCCTTTTGAATGTGTCTTCAGAACCTTTCCCATGGCATCCAGAGCACCCCGTCTGCCTTTCTTTCCTTCCTTGCACCAGTGCATCCTTCGTTGTCCTCCTCCCTCCTTTGCTGTGCCCCCTCATGTGGTCCCCCCTCTGTGCCCCCACCCCCCCGCCCCCCCGTCAGCAGTCTGCCTTCCCAGCAAAGAGGATTCAAACATTTGTTCCCTCCCGCCCTTTTCTTTGCAGCACGGAATCAGGATTTTACATCACAACCAGAACTGGAGAGGGCAGGGAAAGCATTCCACCTTGCAGTTTCCTAGGTCTCCAGGCCTTTAGCGACCTAGATTGTTTCTGCTTTACAAATCTCACCCAGTATTCAAAGCAGTTAAGAAAGTAGCATCTCCGTCTCCTTCCATGGACTTGAGGTGAGGACAGGTGTCAACATCTTCCCTTTCTTAGCAAAGAAAGCTGGGTTCGAGTGGGCGCGTGTTTTGCAGTAAGATCACAGAGACTCAGTGGAAAAGTAGCTTCAGGGGTCCACATCCTCACCGTCAGTGTGCCCTGCAAAGCTCTCAACTCCAGAGAGAGGGTGTCTTTTGAGATGCCGGCTCCACGAGGATCTCAACGCAAAGGGCAGGCAGGAAACGTCGCTGACCAGCTGGCCCCTTCACAGACCCAGATGCACACGCGAGTAAGAACGGGCTGAGAACAGCGCTTGGTGGAGAGTGTGGGCCCCAGGCCGGCAGCACGGGAATCCTGGGACACTTGGTAGACATGCAAAACCCTAGGCCCACCCTAGACCTACCACATCAGAATCTATCTATCTATAGATATAGATATAAAAACTTGGAGGAATTTATATGCAAATGAAAACCCGAGGACCACTTTATAGAACTAACTTGACAAATTCATTTTCTCACTTAATGAGGTAGTATTATCATAACGATCCCCATTTTATGTGAAACACTGTTCCTTCCTCCCTCCCTTTTTTTGCTGTCACGTAACAGTCCACAAAAACAGCAGTACGGATAGTGAAGAGAGATTCCCGCATTGCAGAGGGTGGCCTTGTTGTCCAGCAATTCCCCCCAACTCCCCCAATTCAAAGATAGGAACTTTGAAAATTTTGAGGAAGATGCTCCAGAGCAGGTGCCTCCTGGGGTCTGGGGTGTGCCCTGCCAGCCCCACTGTAGGTATAGCTCATTTGTTTGGTTAAGTGCAGGGGATTTAATTACCTGTGGCAAATACACTGCAGTACATTTTGAAAGAATGATGGAGTCTTATTAGGAGAGAGCCATCCTTTCCATCCTGTTGTATTTATTTACCGCAAAAAAGGCACGCTGAATCTGGAAAGTCGTTTTGGTCTGTCTGATTTTATTGTTGTTTAATCCTTAAAGCCACTTAGATTGGTCAACCAGCATCATTTCAATGAGCGAGGCAATTTTTATCTATCTAGACGTCCTGAAATAAGTGATTTCAGAATCCCCTTCAAGTCTGAGATTCTTTAAGTCTAAGAGAAATAAGGAAAAAAGGGTGAGAGGATGTTGACATCCTTCCAGTGAGCTTTGAGGAATTAGATATGAACCAGCCTGGGTGATTAAATGTCTGCTGGGGTCAAGGGTCATGACCAGCACCACCACCCTGAGATCCCAACAAATAGGGCCCCAGGAGGCACCTACTCTGGAGCATCTTCCTCAAAATTTTCAAAGTTCCCATCTGGTGCCTGGGACCAGCATAGGCCAGCGGTGCCATTCAGGAATGACACTCAGATCTCAGACTGGGAAGTGTGGACTTGTCCCAAACCCCACTTCCCCCCTTCGCCTCTACTTCCAGCCAGTCCTCAACATGGGTTCAACCAGATTCCCAAGATCCTGAAATTCTCGCCTGTGGGCTTGTCCTGGGGCCTGTCAACCGGCCTAAGTTCCAGGAGGGTGCCCTGGTAAGTGGATTGCTTGGCTGGCCGACGGATGCACGATTTCCTTCAAAATAGCATGAGATTGGGCTTCTAGCTGACTTTGAGTGACTCGGTTTGTTTACATATTTGCCTGGAGCCCCACACCTTCTCGGGATGGCCTTGATCACCACCATCCAGACACTGAAGATATAGAGCCTGGGTGGGCATATGGTGACCTTGGTGGGGCTGGCTGGGTGATGGGGGCAAGGAAGGCCCCGAGAAAGCCAGGGTCCCGGGAAAGGGGCAGGGTGGTAGGGATACCCCAGTGCTTCCACGTGGAGCAGAGTCAGGATGCCAAAGCAGCGGCCTCATGTCTGCCCATCAGCCCACCCCCATGACACCCCACTTCCTGTGCCAAACCCATCATGGGCCCAGACTTAGTTTGTCAAAAAGCAACCGTTGGATCAGCTCTGCTTCTACAGTGAGAAAAGTTACGATGTGTTTTTATCATCCTGAAAACTAATTTTGCCCTCATGCCGGGAGCATAAAAAGGAATCAGGTATCAGGCTTAAAAGAAATGCAAATGGATGTACTTTCTCCTCGGCCTTTGGGTTGGCTGGGTTTTCACAGGAGCCTGGTGCTTTGACAGCCTCAGGACATTTGTGTTTTAAGACAGAAGGTCTGTCCTCTTTGCAAGCAGAGGGGTCAGATTGTGAAAGAGCATGTAACAGTGACTGCAAGAAATGTCCATTTTGCAGCCCCAGAGCCTTTAGGATCATGAATTGCAAGCTTCACACAAGCCTGAGAATGAAGCCTCCAAGAATGTCCTACAAAGCCGGGTATTACGCCCATTGAGTTCCCTCACCCCAGGTTCTGCGGATCTCAGGGTTATTTTATGTTGGCAAATGTTTATTGAGCACCTACTACATAGCAGTCAAGAAGGGCTTCCTCATTCATTCATCCTCCATTTTTTCCTCTCCAGGACAGTTTGAAACCAACCAGCTGCTTTGTGTCCGTTTGTATCAAATTGTTAAATGGTCACTTATTCATTCTACAAGTAGTTAGTAGTTTGTACTCTGTGTACAAAGGCATCTATCTCTACATTGTGAAAAATGAAGACGTCCATACGCACATACCCTAAAGTTATTCCCACATTTTAAAAATTATATTATTGATCATGACAATTCTGTTTAAAAATATCAAAGCTTACTAATGTGCCACAGTATTTCACATGTACTCTCTTAATTATCATGTAAGAAAAATAATAATATGTCCTTCTTATCAAATGGTCTGAACATTTAAAGGGACTTGGACAAAAATCCATTGATCCAAGACTCAAGCAGAGAATTTCTTCAAATACTTTGGGGCCAACATAACGTCCAGAATCTTTGACTTGATGTTCAAACCCCCATTTTATGGCTTTTTGTATTCCTTCTCGTCTAAGCTCTGCGAGTACAGTTATGCCCCTGGTTTCACAGTTTCTTGATTGTCTGTGTCTGTTTCTTTCCTCCCAGACGGCCAGGGCTTTGTGAGTGAGGACGAATACCTGGAAATCTCTGACATCAAACGTGACCAGTCCGGGGAGTATGAATGCAGCGCCTTGAATGATGTTGCTGCCCCTGATGTGCGGAAAGTAAAAATCACTGTCAACTGTGAGTAGACCCACTGTCAAGAGAGTTCCAGGGGAAAGGAGGGCATGGGGATTGAGGGGACAAAGAGATAATGGCAATGTCATTTTCTGATAGACCCAAGTTGTTTCCAGCAGGAAAATACAGTATCAGATTGCTGTGCTCGTCACCACCTCCAGGGCCATGGACTGACTGGCAGGACTTTTAGCTAATGGGGAGACTCATGAACTCTGGGTTAGTGTGAAGGCTTGAAGAGATGCTGGGGTAAACACAGTATCTTCAAGCAAGAAGTCCTTTTCCTAAAATACATGATCGTTTAGCTGGGAAGGGGGACGTGCACAGCAGGTGACTGATGTGCGTCTCACCTGTCTCACGGACTCGCCCTGCATCTCCCTGCAGACCCTCCCTACATCTCCAAAGCCAAGAACACGGGTGTCTCTGTGGGCCAGAAGGGCATCTTGAGCTGTGAAGCCTCTGCAGTGCCCACGGCTGAGTTCCAGTGGTTCAAGGAAGATACCAGGTACCTTGAAAGCGGAAACAGGGCATGTCCGAAGCAGAGCTGATGGATCGTTCCCCACGTGCAAGGAGGGTGATGAAGTCCAGGGGGAAGATTCGGCAAAAGCAAACTGATTACAGCCTCCATTATAACAGGGTCTCCTTTTAGAACCAGAAACAAAACACGGAGGGGGCTGGGAAGTGGACAAAACTGATGGAGCTTGTTTCAGAATCAGATTAGCCGTAGACACGGTTGGTGGTCTTCAAGGACTAGGGGAATGCAGCCCTGGAGCGTGGGCACCCTTCCCTTCGGCCCCTGATGGAGGCCGCGGCGCTTACAGCTGAGGGTAGAGGGCCCGGCTTAGTCCGAGGGCTTTGTGAGAAGGAGAGTGTGCGCGTGGATCCGTCTGCGGCGTCTGGACTTCCCGAGACCCTCCTGTCTGCTGCCTCACTGTGTGTCTGCTGCCTCACTGTGTGTGCAACCAAACCCTCCCCCCCCCCCTTTTT